AGGGCCAGCGAGCGGGCAGCACTAGGCTGGCCAAGGCGGGTGCCACTGGGTCCCTCTCTACGCCCCCATCACCCCACGGGTCACCTCACAGATTGGCCTTTATTGCTGTCCAGGCCTAAGGACCCTGCCTGTGCATGAATTTCGTGCGTTGGGCCTCTAGTAAAAACATATTGTAAAAAAGGACTATTTGCGTGCATGAAGGTTTCACCACTGTCTCACCCACATCACTTGCCTCAGACTTTACAGCTGCTCCCCTGGCGGTGGCCTGGCAGCTCCTGGTGAGGACGGCGACGCAATGGGCCTTTCCCGGCGTCACAGGCCTCGCCGCGGCATCCCCCAGTCAGCCCCGGCTGGCAGGGCGGGGACCGGGGCAAACAGAAGAGGTTGTTTCAAGCAAAGAAAGTGCAGCTCTAATTATCTCGGAATAAGTCATCAAACAGCTCCAGTGGTGATTATCCCCAGCTCGGAGGCCTCCTCTCCCGGCCTCTAATTTTCGGGGCCCATCACAGAATCTGGTTTCTCCGGGGCCTTGAAAAGAGGCTTTGTTTCCACGGAGACATCACCCCGGGGAAAGGGCTCACGAGTGAGCTCAGCCCTTAGAAACCAGAGCACAGGAGCCGTTCTCCCGGGAGCCCGGGGGCCTCAGGGCCTGCCTGTCGGCCTCAGAGGATGGCCTCCTCTTCCCTGCAGCCCTCCGGGTGTGCGCCTTGGCGACCCGATGTACCTCGAGGCAGAGTTTGACGAGAGAGGATCATTGATGGGCTGCCTCCTGCGTGGCCCCCACTGGGAATGGAGTCTGCAGCCCGGGCCTGGGCCCTGACCGGGAATCGAACCGAGACCTCCTGGTTCCTAGGTCCACGCTCAGGCCCTGAGCCTGCCACGTGCCTGGCCCGGTGCTGGTTGCCCCGGGGCAGCTCACTGTCAGCCACGCGGCGAAAATGGACACAGACTGATTTTAAAAAGTCCCTCCAGCTCTCCGGTCGGCAGGGGTTTCTGGAGCGCAGAAAGTCATTACAAGGGGCTAGCATTCTGAACTCAGACAGGACGGCGACCCTCCCATCGCCTCTGCCCGCTGGGACCTCGGGAACGTAATTGGTGCTCCAGCCTCAGTGTCTCTGCGTCGGTACCGGAGGGACAATGAGACCACCTGGGGGGGGAGGGCTGAGCTCAGGGCCCCGTCTGTCCTGCGGGCGCCCAGCTGAGGCACTCAGCCCGCCATCTGTCCAGAACCCGTTCAGGACTTCCCCCTTCCCACGTGCGTGGGAGGCTGCGCCTGCAGCATCTCCACGGGGCCTGGCACCCCTTCGCACCCCTTCGCTGAGGCGTTTCTGGGCTCCCCCCAGGGAAGGGCCCGGCAGCCACCAGAGGACTGAGCCTGAGCAGGCGGCCGGCCAGGACGGAGAGCGGGCTTTGGAGACAGATCCCAGCTCTCAGCTCAGCGCTGCCTGCTGTCAGCACAGGTGACGGGCCTCTCCGGGCCTCAGTGTTCTCCTCTGTAGAATGGGGGTAGTGACGTGTACCCCTTTGGCTCGGTAAGCTAATGGAGCAAGCTAACGGCTGCAAAATGCCCAGGAGAGCCTCTGGCACAGAGTAAGTGCTCACGGGACGGTTTCCTCGTCTGGAGTCATAAAGGGGTACAGACCAGAGGCCAGACAGAGGCTCCCCGTTTAACAAGAAGCAGGAGCACAGAGGGTGCCGCCAGGAAGACGGCATTGCACCCGCCATCTGTGTCCCCGGTGTCCTGGCGCACAGTAGGGGCTTAGGGGATGCTTGTCCAGTCAGCCATCTCCTCTCTGGGCCTCGGTTTCCCCGTCTTGTGCAAGGGGGTGACCTCTGTGGGGACCCTTCCGTTCTGGCTGGCTTTGACCTGGTGATCTGACCCGTCGGTAGGTGGGTGGGTACATAGAGCCATGGGGTGACCATCACAAAGTTCAGCTCAGCCGTCCTCCCCACGGCGCTCAGCCACGAGGCCCCCGACACGCAGCTCTGACCCTGGGCTCTGCCTGGAGCCCCCAAACCCCAGCTCCTCAGCAAGCACCCGGTGCGGGGTGCTGGGGGGGGGGGTGGTGGATGCAGGGCGTGGGGCGGGCAGGCGAGGATCTGCTAGAACCCTGCCGAATGCCAATCAGACCGGCAGTGTCTGAGCTCCCAAGTCAAGTCCCGGCAGCTTCGACCCCCGTCCCAGCCCCCAGACGCCCCTGGCTGCCAACCACAGCGGCGGCCGGTAATCCCAGGGCCAACGCCAGGCTGAGGGGGACAGCCCAGAGGTTCCCCCAGAGACAGGGCCGAGGCCTGCCTCTCGGTGCACACACAGCTATGTCTCCTACGGTAGATACAGCCTGCTGTCTGTCCGGCCGCCTGTCTGTCCCGCCAAATCCTCAGGGAGATCAACTCCGAGGGCACTTGGGACTCCTGACGAAGGCGCACCTGTGGGGTGCCAGTGACAGGGAAGGTGGGGGTGAGCCAGGCTGTGAGATTCCACAAGGTGCCGCATCCCGGTGGGTGAGGGTGCGGAGACAGTGGGGGCTGCGTCTTGGCTTCCATTGAAGTCCGCCCGCCTGCTCTCCGGGGGACCGGCCTGGGTGCTCAGCCCCCTGCTCCCCAGGGGACCGGCCTGGGTGCTCAGCCCCCTGCTCCCCAGGGGACCGGCCTGGGTGCTCAGCCCCCTGCTCTCCGGGGGACCGGCCTGGGTGCTCAGCCCCCTGCTCCCCAGGGGACCGGCCTGGGTGCTCAGCCCCCTGCTCCCCAGGGGACCGGCCTGGGTGCTCAGCCCCCTGCTCCCCAGGGGACCGGCCTGGGTGCTCAGCCCCCTGCTCCCCAGGGGACCGGCCTGGGTGCTCAGCCCCCTGCTCCCCAGGGGACCGGCCTGGGTGCTCAGCCCCCTGCTCCCCAGGGGACCGGCCTGGGTGCTCAGCCCCCTGCTCCCCAGGGGACCGGCCTGGGTGCTCAGCCCCCTGCTCTCCTGGGGACCGGGCCTGGGTGCTCAGCCCCCTGCTCTCCGGGGGACCGGGCCTGGGTGCTCAGCCCCCTGCTCTCCCAGAGGACCGGCCTGGGTGCTCAGCCCCCTGCTCTCCCAGAGGACCGGCCTGGGTGCTCAGCCCCCTGCTCCCCGGGGGACCGGCCTGGGTGCTCAGCCCCCTGCTCCCCAGGGGACCGGCCTGGGTGCTCAGCCCCCTGCTCCCCAGGGGACCGGCCTGGGTGCTCAGCCCCCTGCTCCCCAGGGGACCGGCCTGGGTGCTCAGCCCCCTGCTCCCCAGGGGACCGGCCTGGGTGCTCAGCCTGCAGATCAGCCGGCCCTGGCGTGGCGGGCGGGGCCCCGGGTCTGACCGTTCGCCCTCGCCCTGCGCAGGGCCCTCACCTGCTCCAGTTTCCACTTCCCGGCTGCCGCGGCCATTGGCTCCTTTTGGCTCCACGCTGGCAGTTAAAACAGTTGCGTAGGAAGGCTGACCGGGCCGTGGGCTCAGAACCGCTGAGGGCCAGGCGTGGCCCAGGGCAGCACCGGCTCTCCCTTCCAGAGACCGAGACGCGGGCCCTCGAGCGAGGTCTGTGCCCGGAAGGCCGCTGCAGTCCTTGGTTTCTGTGCCTCAGATGCCACTTCTTGGGAGGGAGGGTCCATGTGGCTGCGAGCTGTCCCGCCCTCCGCTGAGGCCGGACGGGGACCGCCAGGAGCAGAGCTGTGGGCCGTCAGGAGGCGGCGCTGCTCACAGGGCAGGAGAGGAGGGGACAGCCCGCGGCTGCAAGGTCAACAGGACGGCCAGCTCCTCCCCAGGCCCTGCCGCGCCGGACAGCTTGTGATCCGTGACTGCAGGCCTGGCGGGGGGGGGGGGGGTAAGTGGGGGGGAGCAGGGGGGCATCTTTCTCACCGGGAACAGCCAGCCCTGGAGCACAGTCTGCCGCTTGCGGGCCTGGCTGACCTCCATGTCCACTCCCTCGAAGGAACAGGTTGAAAATCGCTGCTCGATACACAGGGAGGGGTTTGGGGTGGGAATGGGGGGGATGAGGACAATTATGTGATACCATAATCAATAAAAAGAAATTTAAAAAAACATAAATAAAAGTTTTTTAAAAATCGCTGCTCAAGAGCAACTAAAGCACCCTTTTCCCTTTAAAGTTGGCTGGCACCCCACCCAATGGGGGGGGGGAGAGGAAGAGGGGGGGAGAGAGAGTGAGAGAGAGAGAGAGAGAGGTGTCCTATTGGCCGGCTTTGCTGGTTAAAAACCAGGCGCACGATGGTTGTCCATTCCCTTTGTTCTGCCTCCTCTTCCTCTGCCTGCTCCCATAAATACGCTAGGAATCCATAAACGGTTAATGAACAACAAATAAAGTCCGTAACTGCAGAATCAGCCTGAGACCCTCAGGCCCCGCCCCGGGTCCCGTGACTAATGGGGTGCAGGTGGCCGGGCAGCGCTGGAGCAGGAACAGGGCCTGCCGCCCGGAGCAGGGACAGCCGAGGGGACACGGCCTCCTTCTGCTCTGAGCCTCCTCCCATCCCGCGACCCAGACTCTGGTTCCCAGAGGGACTGAGCACAGCCAGCACTGCTGCCACGCGGTGCCACGGCCCCCGCCGCTGCCTGCACGCCGGCCTGGGTAACGGCCGCCACGGCGAACCGCGGATCAGAGCGTTTTCGCCAGGATGCGCCCCCATCAGACCTGTCGGCGAGGTGCTGACAGACACAAGCTTCTGGAAACAAGCTCTTCACAGGGCCCGTCCCCGTGAAACGGAACCCGGTGAGCCGCGGCCGGCGGACAGCGGGGTCTGCCCGGCGAGTGGCTCAGTGTCAGCTGCGTTGTCACTGCGGGCACGCGCGTTTTCAGTAACATGTGTTACAGGGAAAACATACACATGACTTATGTGTTCTGGTCCAAGTCCCACAGACTGTGACCCCTGGGCCAGGCATCAGGAGGGAGGAGAAGGAGGAACAGAAGGAGAAAGAGGAGGAGGAAGAGGGAGGAGAAGAGGGAACAGAAGGAGAAGGTGGAGGGGAAAGAGGAAGGGGAGGAGGAGGGGGAGGAGGAGGAGGAGGAGGAGGGGGAGGAGGAGGGGGAGGAGGAGGAGAAATGGGAAGAGGAGGGAGAAGAGGAGGAGGGGGAGGAGGAGGAGGGGGAGAAGGAGGAGGAGGGGGAGGAACAGAAAGAGCAGAAGGAGGAAGAGGAGGAGGAAGAGGGAGGAGAATGAGGCAGAAAAAAGAGGAGAAGGAGGAAGAAGAGGAGGAGAAGGAACAGAAGGAGCAGGTGGAGGAGAAGGAGGAGGGGGAGGAGGAGGGGGAGGAGAGGGAAGAGGAGGAGGGAAAGGAGGAGGTGGAGAAGGAGGAAGAGGAGGAGGAGGGGGAGGAGGAGGGGGGGAGGAGGAGGAAGAGGAGGAGGAGGGGGAGGAGGAGAGGAAGGAGAAGAAGGTGAAGAAGGAGGAGAGGAGGAGTGGGAGGAGGAGGAGGAGGAAGGGGAGGAGGAGGGGGAGGAGGAGGTGGGGAGGAGGAGGAAGGGGAGGAGGAGGGGGAGGAGGAGAGGAAGGAGAAGAAGGTGAAGAAGGAGGAGAGGAGGAGAGGGAGGAGGAGGAGGAGGAGGGGGAGGAGGAGGGGGAGGAGGAGGGGGAGGAGGAGGGGGAGGAGGGGGGGGGGGAGGGGGGGGGGGGGGGGGAGGAAGGGGAGGAGGAGGGGGAGGAGGAGAGGAAGGAGAAGAAGGTGAAGAAGGAGGAGAGGAGGAGTGGGAGGAGGAGGAGGAGGAAGGGGAGGAGGAGGGGGAGGAGGAAGGGGGGGAGAAGGAAGGGGAGGAGGAGGGGGAGGAGGAGGGGGAGGAGGAGAGGAAGGAGAAGATGGTGAAGAAGGAGGAGAGGAGGAGGGGGAGGAGGAGGAGGAAGTGGGGGAAGAGGGGGGAGGGAGGGGAGGGGGGGGGGGAGGGGGGGGGGGGGGAAGAGGGAGGAGAATGAGGCGGAAAAAAGAGGAGAAGGAGGAAGAAGAGGAGGAGAAGGAACAGAAGGAGCAGGTGGAGGAGGAGGAGGAAGGGGAGGAGGAGGGGGAGGAGAGGGAAGAGGAGGAGGGAAAGGAGGAGGAGGTGGAGAAGGAGGAAGGGGAGGGAGAAGAGGAGGAGGGGGAGGAGGAGGAGGGGGAGAAGGAGGAGGGGGGGGAGGAGGGGGGGAGGAGAGGAAGGAGAAGAAGGTGAAGAAGGAGGAGAGGAGGAGTGGGAGGAGGAGGGGGAAGGGTAGGAGGAGGGGGAGGAGGAGGGGGGGAAGGAGGAAGGGGAGGAGGAGGGGGAGGAGGAGAGGAAGGAGAAGAAGGTGAAGAAGGAGGAGAGGAGGAGTGGGAGGAGGAGGAGGAAGGGGAGGAAGAGGGAGGAGGAAGGGGAGGAGGGGGAGGAGGAGGAGGAGGAGGAAGGGGAGGAGGAGGGGGAGGAGGAGAGGAAGGAGAAGAAGGTGAAGAAGGAGAAGAGGAGGAGTGGGAGGAGGAGGAGGAAGGGGAGGAGGGGAAGCAGAAGGGAGAGTGAAGGCTGTGGGTGGGTGGGCTGATGGGCTCTGACTTGCCCCTGGAGCAGGGGTGACGGTGGAAGGAGCACTGTGGCCCACGCAGGGGGGACCACTGCAGCGGGGGAGGTGAGGGAGTGGGGGGCGGGAGGGGTGGTGAGGAGGGGGTGCTGATACAGAGCAGCCATGTTTCCGCCTCCCAGCTCCCGCCACCGGTCCAGGCTGCAGGCTCCTCCGCCCTCCTATCAGGAAGGGAGCAGAGTCGTTCTCTGCTCCTCCAGGGCCTCTGGGGCCGCGGGGCACAGCCCAGGAAGCGGGAGACGTGGGCTGGGGGTCCTGGTGGGGGCGGCAGGGGGGGGAGCCAGGCAGGACAGACCTCTGGGCCCAGGCTGGGGGACCCTCCGGGGCAGAAGGTCAGGCCCCGTCGCACGCCCTGTGGAGAGGTTTAGGGGGGACAGGTATGGGGAGCGGGTTCGAGCTCCGTGTTCCGTTATAAAGGTGACCGTCCCCCACGGGGCCCCTCGGCCTCCGCAGAAGGCAGGTATTGGTTTCATAAATTACTTGTAACTATTTTCTCGGGGAGGGGCGGGCGGGGGTGAGAGAGAGCAGAGACTAAACAGACGCCGGTGCCTTTGATCGGCCGCCGCAGACAGGCCGGCCGCCCGGAGCGAGGGTCTGGCCGGCAATCCGCGCCGTCCGACCGGGGCCCCAGAATCACAACGGGGGCGGGGGTGGCGTGAACCACCCCCGTGGCCAGGAGCCCGCCCGCCCGTCAGTGTAAATATAACCAATGAAGACCATGTCCGGGCAGCGGGAGCGGAGGCGGGGCTATCTCCCGCCAGGAGTCGGAATGTGGGGTGAGGGGGTGCGGGGGGTGGAGAGGCGGCAGGCCAGATTTCTGGGTCTCCCTGTGCCTCCAGGACTCCGGCCCCCCCCCCCCCCAGCACCAGGCCGGTGGCCCGCGGGCGTCAGATCCAGTACAGACTCTCTCCGAGGGGCCGAGCAGAGGTGGGCTCCGGGCTCTGGCCCCATCCTGAACTTCGTCCCGTCTTATGTGGGCCACTCGCCCCCCCCATGCCCAGCCCCGGGCACTGTGCCTGGCACACGGGAGAACCCTAAACGCATTGGCTGGATGAACGAGGGACTGGCACGTTTTCAGAAGAGAAAAGTGGACTTCGCAGACATTAGGGACCTGCCCAGGTCCTCAGGCTGGCACCGGGGCGGGCAGAGGTCCAGGCGGGCCTGCCCCAGGGCAGCTCTGCCCGGAGGTATGCCACCTGTCTGAGGAAGGTACCTCCCAAACAGGGGGGCGGGCGCAAGACCGTGCCCTGGCTCTCCACGGCGCTGGGCGTGGCATCTGCCTCCGGAGCAGGACGTAAAGGGGCACCCAGCCCGGCTGGGGTGGCTCAGTGGTTGAGCATCAGCCCATGAGATAAGAGATCCCTGGTTTGATTCCTGGTCAGGGCGCGTGCCTGGGTTGCGGGCTCCAGGGAGGAGGCAGGAGGTGCTGGAGGCAGCGGATGGATGTTACCTTCTCACTGATGGATGTTTCTCTCTCTCTCTCTCTCTCCCTCTCGCTCTCTCTCTAAAAAGTCAATAAGAGCTTATTAGAATTGTAAAAAAATAAAAAGGGGGCATCCAAAAAACCGAGTCATCAAGAGTAATGGTTTAACTCCACGTGTTCCAACACCTAAGTTAATGCAGAAGCTCCACGGAGAGCCAGATGCCGAATGTTACCGTAGAAACAGGGTCAGCTTCACTGGCCGCTGGCCTGGGGGGTCGCCTGTCGGCTTTAAGTTGCTGTGTGACCTGAGGATCCACACTCCCTCTCTGGGCCGGAGGAGTCGCCTGGCTTCCCGTGTGGGTGAGGGCCTGCCAGGAGCTCCGAGCGAGGCTGGGGAAGGTGTGAGGACGGGCGCTCCCCTCTCTCCACCTCCCCCGTCAGTCCCCGCTCCCGTCCGTTCCCAGCATCTGGGCTGAGCGTCACAGGGGCCTCCCCAGAATGCACCGGGGCCGGGTCACCCGCAGACACCGTGCTGGTTCGTTTCTGCCCGGGGCGTGGGGCCGGAGTGCCGGCTTCTCCTGGCCACGGCGCGGACAGCCACCGGAAGCCACCGGAAGCCACCGGAAGCCACGGGGGCTCCGGCCCATGTCCGGGCGCGGCCCTCGGTCACTGCGCTCCATGCAGACGGCTTTTCATTTACTGTCCCTCTCCCCCCCCCCCCCCCCCCCCCCCCCCCCCGCCCAGCAGAAAGTCCTCTGTTTTAAGAACAGGGAGAGGGACGCTGGGAACCCGTGCTGCTATTTGCAAAACTCCTCCTGGTTCTGTTCTGGTTCTGGTTCTGGTTCTGCCTTCTCCCGCATTGGGGCGATCGGTCAGCTCCGGCCAGCACCCACACACAGTGCCTCACCTCCCGGGGACGGGCCTCACGGAGTGCCTTTTGGGTGACACACACCACGCCCAGCAGTCCCCGTTGATCCACCCTGACCCACCCGGCCCACCGCGTGTCATGCACCCCTACACGCCAGGGCACCGGGCAAACCGGCCCCGACCGGTCGGTCCTCAGCGCTGAGAGCAGGCCGGGCGCGCCGACGGGAACCCACAGCGACAAGCAGGCTGTGAGGGGCCTCGCAGGCCGAGGTGAGGAGCTGGGTCCTGACATGGTCGTCCTGGCTGCGCTGCTGGCTACCGTCCATTGTCCCCGCCTTTTCCAGACGAGGCAGACAAGGCTGGAGGGGGCTGTTCGGCCACGAATGCCCGCCCTACGCTGAGGTCCCGGGGCGGGGCCCGGGCTGCACGGGGCAAGGGCATGTGGCCATGGGCGTGAGCAGAATCATCGGGGCAGGCGGGCTATTCCGAGGGAAGGAAGGAAGGAGGGAAGAGGGAGGAGAGGAAGCAGGGCCGGAGGGCGGGCGGGGAGAGGTGAAAGGAAGAGAGCTGACCATGAGCTCTCGCAGGGAGGGAAGTGGCTCACAGGTGAGAACACCTGGTTTGTGGGCGGCAGGAGGCTCTGAACTCTGCCTCCGCCTCCACACGGGACATCCCCATTTCCACCACTGGGGCAATGACCTCCGCACAGCTAGTGGCCAGGCCAGGGCCTCACCCCACGCTCAGCATTTTCTCCTGGAAATGACCAAAAGCCAGCCCGAGGCTGCAGCCCTGGGACAGGGACACAGATTTCCCCAGGCTGGGCCCGCGGAAACCCGTCCCAGACTCACTAATGGGCTCCGCCTGGCTGGCTGCCTCTTTGTGGGACCGCGGCGCCCTCTGCCGGCAGCTCCACGCAACAACAGCCCGTCGCAATGACAACGCAGGGCAAGCCTGGGAAGTGCCTTCCTGGCGCTTAGACCTCGGGTCTCATCCCTGAAAACGGTTGCTTTCTGTCACTCTAGTTGTCATGTGATGGTTCCTGTTAATTTACAGTTTTAACTGTTATTGTTTAATGTGCGTCCCATGGATCAATATTTACTGGACTAGAAACGAAAACAGATACGTTTACCAAATACTCAGTCTAACTCGTTTTCAAGCTCACATACACTTGGTATGACAGAACTTTATGAAAAGTAATTGTGTTTTTTGACACAACACATGGGGGGGGGCGTGGCACCGCTCAGGGCGGGCAGCTCTCTGGCTCTCCGGAGGCAGCTGGCGGGACGGGGGACACATTGTTAAAAATCTGGACCGTCCCGCTTTGGGCGGGACGTCTGGGCACCTTAATCAGCGCCCGTGGTTCCGGCTCCAGGGCCCGGCCCTCGGGCCTGACTGACCGCCGTGCACTCCTGTTTGGAAAACACCAGCCCCGGAGCCACGCAGGCCGGTCGCATCCCCGCACAGTTCCATCTAAAGCACATGTGTCAAACACAAGGCCTGCGGGCCAAATCCGTCCCACCAGGCCTTGCAATGTGGCCCGCACCGCGCTGTCATCACTGCACTCCACTGCGTTTCCATCACAATGACAGTTTATGACTGTTCAGTAAACCATTCGGCCCGCGATTTAGGCTGGATTTTAGATTTTGGCCCCTTCTCTGATTGAGTTCGACACCCCTAATCTAAAGAATGTCAGAATGTCCCGCGTGCTAACACGACCAGAGTCTTGCAAGAAGGTTTGATGATTGGGAAACTGTCAGCCTCGTGGTGGCGGCTGCAGGTTTTCCCAGTCCTCGTTTCCACCGGCAAGTTCAGATGTCAGCCTCCGTGACCATCGCCCTTTTCCTTCTTAAAGGGCCAGGCCCACACCGTTCGCTTTCAGGAACAGTCTCCTGCCAAACACAAGCGGCTGCTTGAGCTCCAGACCTCACACACATGCTTTCCAACCACACCTGTGCCCGGACAGCTGTTTCCTGCCGTTCCCACTGGTCTCGGGGTCAGAGCAGGTGTCTTTGTTTTGTTTTTAATTTTTTTACAGGGAGGAGAGAGAGGGATAGAGAGTTGGAAACATCGATGTGAGAGAATCATCGATCAGCTGCCTCCTGCACACTCCCTACTGGGGATGTGTCCACAACCAAGGTACATGCCCTTGACCAGAATCGAACCTGGGATTCGCAGACCGACGCTCTATCCACTGAGCCACACCGGTTTCCGCTTTTTTTTTTTCAAAGCAGGTGTGTTTACAGTGGGGAGTGAGCAGATCCATGATCTGACAGCGTCGTTGGATGCTCTTGGGGAGCCCTGGACGGGGAGCTTTCTGCCTCTGCACGGTGGGCAGGCTGGTGGCGAATGGGGTGAGGAGGACAGCCGCTGGGGCCACCCCCGGTCCTGGGGGCTCCAGCGTTTCCGTCTGCTCCTGGGGACCAAGGGCAACACGCCAAACAGGCCGGTGAGACCCTGGGATCATCGTGCAAGGACGTGGGGCTCCCGGGCTGCAGGCCGCACTGCGTGAGCTGCTCCTGGCACCCGCAGGTGGAGAAGTGGGCGGCGGGGAGGGGCAGCGGGCTCTCCCTTTCCTCCAGCCGCACGGAGGCTGGAGGTGTGCGAGACAGTGGGGGCATAGACCCTCTCCGCCCCCACCAGCTCCTAAGCCCGTGTCCCGGATGACAAGTGTCCGCTGTTCTCACCAGGTGGCTCTGCGGGCTCCGTGTTGGCGGGAAGACCAGCCTGATAAGAAGCTTGGGGTTCCCAGCCCCCATACCCCCCTTCTCTGCAGAAGGGAGAGGGCTGAAGACGGAGTTAATGATGGATCGCTCATGACCATGTGAGGCAACCTCCAGGAAATCCCTAAATGCAGGGTGCAGAGAGCTTCGGGGTCAACACAAGGAGGGGGGCGCGCCCCTTCCCACACCCCTGCCCTGTCCCCCTTCCCCCTCCCCCCCTCCTGCACCCCGACCTGCGATGGCCCTGCTGGTAGCATTCACAGCAGGGGCATTGGGAAAGGGTGCCTGTGAGGGTGGTGTGGTCACACCTTCACCAGCCTGTCACTGGGCAGGCTGAAAGGGGTGCCTCCAGAAGGCCCCCTCAAACCCTGCTCAGCGCCCACCCCGGACATGCATGGGCACCGGTTCGTTTTCTGTGCCGAGGAGACCCGTCAGCGCCCACCATCCAGGGCCTCCGCCCCGGAGCTGAGCAGGCGGCTGGGCGCGCCTTCGCCACCAGAGGGCAGTGTGGCCCAGCCAGGCGCTCCGCCCTGGCAGGGCCCGTGGGATGGAGCTGGCAGCAGCTGGGCCCCAGATGTGGGATGTGATGTTCCCGGACCCTCCCCTGGACACGGAGGAGGGGAGGGGGGACCCAAATGTCAGCGTCCTCGCCCCGGATCGCTGACTTCGGGACTGGAAAGAACAGTCACTCGGCCTGTGACTCTCTGAGCCAGCGGGTTCCCGGCTGTGAGGATGCGGCCCTGGGCCCAGGGGGCCTTGTGGTGACGATGACCAAAGGACAGGGGTGTAACGGGCCCGCCTGGCGCCCGCACGTGTGAGCCCACGGCCGGTCCGCTCCGGCCTCTGTCTGTGGGCGTTCACCAGGGCCGAGGGCCTCAGCTCTGCGTGGCTCAGCCTCTGAACTGGATGCTGTGATTTTGCGTTTCACGAACACAACACCGAGGGACAGAGAAGGGAGTGACGCAGCACAGCCTGCACCCCCCCACACCCCAGTCCTGCCTCCGGGTGGGCTCCCAGGGGGGTGAGGGGGGGCTCAGCACCCTGTCCGACCCCATTCCCTCCCTGGACAGTGAGACCCGCGGTCAAAGAGCCGCCTTAGCTCTGCCCGCACCTCACATTCGTCTGCCCCAGCGTGTGCCAGGCCGGCCGCCGTGCGGGGCGAGCCAGGCCGTGCCTGCGGGGGCTCCTGGCCGGGGAGGAGGTCCATGGACTTCAGCTGCCTCTCTGGGCACAAGCATCGCCCCAGCCAGGTCTGGCCCTTCGGGGGTAGGCCAGGCACCGTTAACACCCCTCCTCCTGTCCTTCCCATCACATGCCACAGACACGCACTTGCATACATGTGCACATGCATGCACGCACACACAAAAACATATGTACACACGTGCACGTGTGGTGACTTAACCCTCGGCACCTCAAAATGTGACTGTGTTTGGAGATGGGGGCTTTAAAGAGACAATTAAGTTAAAACTAGGTCGGTAGGGTGGCCCCTGCCCTAATCCAATATGATTACGACGCAGACACAGAAAAGGAACGCATGTGAACACAGGAACACAGACAGGGCACAGCCATCTGCCAGCGAGGAGGGAGGCCTGGGAACCGCCTGTAGGTGGGAATCTGCAGCAGCACCGCGCCCGCCCGCGGGAAACAAAGGCGCCGCTGCGGTCCGGCTGCGCGGGCGCCGCCGGCCACCAGGGGGCAGCATCGCGCCGCCAAGGGCAGCCGGCGCCCGCGCTCCCGCGCCTTTGTCCCGGGGTCCCCGCCGCAGCCAGGTCATGGGGCGGCCCCCACGCAGGCCCGCAGGCCTCCTCCGCACCGGCCTTCCCTCCCGGCTGCACCCGGGCGGCCCAGGTCCTCAGGCAGGGCCTGTGCGGAGCCCCTGCAGCGTGCGCTCGGGGCTGGGTGTGCACACGGGGCTGGGTGTGCACGGAGCTGGGTGTGACGCGGGGCTGGGTGTGACGGGGGGCTGGGTGTGCACACGGGGCTGGGTGTGCACGGAGCTGGGTGTGACGCGGGGCTGGGTGTGACGGGGGGCTGGGTGTGCACACGGGGCTGGGTGTGCACGGAGCTGGGTGTGACGCGGGGCTGGGTGTGACAGGGGGCTGGGTGTGACGCGGGGCTGGGTGTGCACAGCCCTGAGCCCCAGCGGCCCCATGACAGCCCTTCTCTAGGGCCGCGGTGCTGGGCGGTGGGGATCCAGCGCCCTTTCCGCCCGCACTGGGCCAGAGTGCCCTCCGGGTGCCCTGCGGGGACATGGAGGGGGGGGGGCTCCTGGACACCCCTCCCCCGGAGCAGCAGGGCCCGCGGGTCCCCGCGCTGACAAGTCTCCCTGAGCTCCAGGCCCCGCCGGGTTCCCGGGTCCAGCCCGTTGGGTTCCGGGTGCCCTGTGTGGTTCGGGGTGCCCTGTGTGGTTCCGGGTGCCCTGTGTGGTTCCGGGTGCCCTGTGTGTTTCTCCGGGTGCCCTGTGTGGTTCCGGGTGCCCTGTGTGTTTCTCCGGGTGCCCTGGGTGGTTCGGGGTGCCCTGTGTGTTTCTCCCGGTGCCCTGTGTGTTTTTCCGGGTGCCCTGTGTGGTTCCGGGTGCTCTGTGTGTTTCTCCGGGTGCCCTGTGTGGTTCCGGGTGCCCTGTGTGGTTCGGGGTGCCCTGTGTGGTTCGGGGTGCCCTGTGTGTTTCTCCGGGTGCCCTGTGTGTGGTTCGGGGTGCCCTGTGTGGTTCGGGGTGCCCTG